CACATTTCGCTGTTTAGTAGGACCCGTTTTTTCTCAATAAAATTACAATGTTTGCATATATAATTTTATATCATATATGTATGAATAAAAAAAAATACATAACTGTGCAGCGGTGTTTCTTATTTATTGTCAGCTAGTTGTTCTTTCAGTGTTTCTTACTTGTTGACGGTTGTTGAGGTTTGTACTTTGCGGGGCCTGATGTTGCACTTGTTACTTTTATTCTCTTGTCGACTATCCTATTATATTTCTCTTTGCATTGCGGTTACTTTGCTCGCCCATTTATGCATGTATCAGTAAAGCTAGCAGCACCCTTCACCATTTTTATTGCTCGTACAGGCAATTTTCGTGGTCGCCACAAAAATGACCAAGTGTGCGGGCCCGGCAACGACCACTCACCACGGAAATTTAGTGGTGACCACGAGTTGCCGAGAATCAAACCGGTTTGATTTCTCACCACGAAAATTGCTCGTGGTGGAAACTTTTGGTGAAGTGTGCTGTGACGCGGCAACGGCCACAAAAATTGCCGACCACGAAAATTGCCTGTACGAGCAACGAAAATGGTGAAGTGTGCTGCTAGCTTAACTGCTGTTGGCTTGTTAATAATTCCGCGTGTTCTATGCGTGTTTTTGTTACCTGCGGCAATGCGGTTTCTACACAAATTTGTAATTTCTGCTGTATGACGATAACCACTTCATTTCCTGGTTTATTGAAATATGGTATTGAGATCGGGATGTGAGATGCTCACCTACTGCTGACCGTCTCCTCACGTTTAAAGCATATGAGATCGACCGAATTGCCTTTAAGGGATAACGCACCGAGATTCCCGCTCCCACAACCCCTATACATTGGTTAATGTCCATCTGAAAGGCAGGGCGGAATCTGAAAGGCAGGGCGTCCATCTGAAAGGCAGGGGGTTACTGAAATTATCTAGCTAGTCTCGTTTCAAGTTTTGGAGGATTTTCAGATTTTTTTTAATGGAGAAGTGTTGGCGGGCCACTGAAAGTAACGTGGCGGGCAGCATCTGGCCCGCGGGCCGTAATTTGCCCACCCCTGGTATAGGCAATCAGAAAACCAATGTTTACAATTTTGCCGGAAGCATGCATGGCGGCCATCCTGGATTTTCGAAACGGCTACCTTCAAAATGGGTGTTTCTCAATATCTCAGCATCCAGGTGGCCTAGAGTCATGATTTTAACGGCTAAACATACATTTTCAGGGGTGAGGAAGCTAGTGGTACAAAGTAAAATGTGACCCGCTCCAGCAAAACCAGGATTAAGTAACAAAATTTACAAATTGAGTTATGTGCATATTTGAATAGATCATTTAATTACTTTTAAAATGATATATAATATTTGGCTATAGGAATGTGTCCCTAGGAAATTATGTCTCGGGCCCACCTCGGCCGCGACCACGCCCACCACGGCCACGTCCACGCCCACCACCATCTCTTTTGGCAGGCTCCTCAATGACCGGTTGTCTCTCGGCAATGTCAGGTTGAACATCGTCGTCGTTCTTTCCAGGTTTTGGAACCTGCGGCTTAGGACATGTGATGTCCCTCGTCTTCTCGCTACAGAAATCCCGAATTTTCTCAAAAAGATACCATTGCCTGGCAGCAGGTAGACCCGGCGGTGGAATGACATTGGGATCTCTCATCGGTAGCAGCACATTGTTGTTCTTGAGCATCGTGAACTCAACTTTTGGTGACTCTCTTGTCTCCTTGCAGAACACCATGCCTGGATTGGCAGAGTTGAACCTAAATGAAAAATAAAAAATGTACACATAATTTATTTGTAAAATTTTATCAGTTTTTAAAAGCAGTTTGAGGTGTTGTTGACCTTGAAAGAGGAGTAAACCTAGAGAAAGAAAGAAATTTAATATTAAAAAAAGGAAGCTTGACCCTGCATGTTAAATGGACCAGTCAAACCAAGCACTCATGAGAATCCAAGTTACTTTTTAAGGGCCTTCACAATCCACGTACCTGAAGTGATGGTAGCTTTCAATCCCAATAATTGGCTTCATGAAGGGGTGCAGCATCTCCTGCCAGTCGTGGTGGTCGACGATAGACTCTCCCTGTTCAGACATGGCCAACTGCGAGACGTTTACCTCAGAGACTGTGCTGTTCCTTACAACATCCTGCAGCTCAGAAAGTGAACAGACACGCGTTTTTCGGAAACGTTGCTCCATCAAACCGAAACACCAATCCGGGGCGAATTTTGTGTGGCCGGTCATCAAGAGGTTCAATTTCGTCATGAAGTCCATGCATGACCCGCCATGCCAGGTACCAGAGCATGAATTTGTTTTTGTTTTGCCCGCTGCAGTTATCACAATTTAGGTCACACATTGTTTCACCAAGACCATATCACTTGAAAAAGTGATGGACATAACTGATAACTGCAGATGACCCTTTCGAAGATGACGCTGCTTCATCAATGAGGTAGTTTATCTGCACTGGGAGGCCTTCACAACACACACCGAAGAGGCCACATTTTCGCGGAGTAAGAAAATACACTGGGCCAGGTTGTAAGGGATCCGATGAAAGGTGCACCTGTTGCGCGAAGTGGAAGGAATAGTGCATATGGATGTCCCTTGACCATGGTCGATTTGGTCCTAGTCGGACTGGTCCATCCATTTCACCGACTGCCGTTTTTGCAGCTGCAACCATGTCACGATATGACTGACGTTCCATATTGACAACACGCAGGTGCTCTTCCTGTTTAATTAGTTTTCTTGATTTAACAGCTTCTGGAAGATTCGCACTCCTGTATACCGCATAGTTGTTCTGTTGGCAAGTCCAACACAGATCCGGCATTGGTTTCGCCTGGACTATGAACGGTAGAAGGGTGTTTCACAGTTTACGGAAGGTGCTGTTCTTCACTGCTCGCTCACCTGAAAGATTTGAAGATGAATACATTTACCAGAGTGCAATTATTATTTCATTTCACTTCATGTGCGTGCGTGTGCGCGTGTGTGTGCGTGCCTGTGTGTGAGTGGGGGGGGGCGTGTGTGTGCGTGCGTGCGTGCGTGCGTGCGTGCAGATCTTCGTTGTGCTGGATTAGGGAGCTTTCTTGCAATCTTAAATTTAGTGTATATATTTGTTAAACTTGGTTTGTTTACCTAATTTGCGTTGTTTTATGATATCGTGTTGCCGGCGTGCAATCACGTCAAGACACAAGTCCAGGCAAAGTTTATGTGATACATTACAATGTACTGTAACCCGGAAATATTTTGCAGCTGTTTTATTTCCGTTAAAATAATATCTTGTAATTTTTGACCAATTTACAGATCAGGTCCGGCCCCAAAATTAAAACCGGAGTACCAACAACATTTCCAGGTTACAGTAGATCATTGTATAAGATTCTTATGTTGTGCCTTACCAGATAACTGCATTGCAGTGCGATAGAGCCGACATATAGAAGACCTGGTCTCACTTGATGGCAGCAGTTTCATACGGAAATCTTTGAAGCCAGGGATACGGCCAGGAAGCACTATGGCATGGTCCTCAGCAAAGTTCTCTATGAATGAGACAACCCTCTGATGGTCACCATGTGACAGAAACCTTGGATTCTTTCCTCTGCCTGCAGACTTCTTCTGGCGTGGAACAAGGCCGCTTTCCTTGTACCACAAGATGCAGACATCGAGCTTTTCCTCAGAAATCTTGCAAATAATTATAATGACAACAATAATAGTATTAGCCCACTTACACTGTAATTAATTATCAGAAAAAACAGTCATCTACATCAATGATAGATAAAAGTACATTCTATTCTTGTCTCAGACTTCACTGTACGCTACAATCATAACAATTAAAGCTTTCAGATATTGGGTGGGTGTCCTTTTATTACTGCTGTTACTTTTAAAAGGAAAAGCCAGCTAAAGCCTATACTAGGGCTCCCACTGTTTTAAAAGTGATTTTAGTATTTCAATCAAAATTCGAAAGAAAAGTACATGAGTTTTTACTTGTGAAATAACAGTTAGGTTTTAATCTGATCAACTGATGGACTTACCCATGAATGAATTTAAAAGCTTTGCGACAGACTCGTTTTCCTTCAACAAAGTAATTCGTTTGTTGCCTTTTTCTTTGGTTCTGGGAAGCTCATTTCGAACATTCTGTCAAACTGGACTGATTCATGGTAGAGCTGACTTTCCCGATGAGTATGAGATCTTTCTCAAAGTCCGTCATTTCCGACATGCTGAGCCGCAAATTATACACAGGTTCTGGCTCCAATTGCTTGACGCAGCGTTCGCGTCCTTGTCTTTATCTAGAACAAAGTCCTTTACCAACTTCATCACTGCTGCGGCTTGATTCACTTCCACAATACCTGGGGCTTCACCTGTATCGTCATCCTGTACGTCAGCTGCATTAACATTGTCCTTACACACAACATTCAACACAGAGGAAACAGCTGGACCCTGAAAGTCATCCCCAGCCACATCACTAGGGTCTTGGCCATTATCTAGAGAGTGCATGAGAATATAGCACATTGCTAACTTCGGTTTCACTATCAGGGTCGGTCTCAGTGTCAACAAAATCATCCTCTGCTGCAGGATCAGCGAAATAGTCAGTCAACCGTTCCTGTAGTGCATTTCAATGCGCTGAACTAGCAGTGTTAGCATTGCTGATCTCATTCAGCAGCCTTGCAGCCGCTTCACCACTCTTAATTGCACCCAATTCCATTTTCAAGTGTTACCACAACATTTTCCTTGTCATTCACTGAAGTATTTGAGTCTAAAAATACGATATTTTCTGATATTTATGACAAAAACAACAGAAAATATCACAAAGTTTTTGTGAACATGGCGGCAGCCATATTCCCATAATGCAGTGCGCAAGCAGCTCTTTATTTAGACTAGTACTTGCTCCCACCTCGATTACTCGATGGTTAGTACCCATCAAGTAACTAAGCCGAGAGGTGGGAGCGGGTACCAGTCTACTCTTTATTTTGATACCAAATAAGCTATGGGGACATTACCAGGGAATCCCCAGTAGTACTTTGAAATTGGCGATTTTTTCAGCCAAAATTTAGGTTTTTCTTGTTATTTTTTCAAACATGTCCTTGCTAAAATACTAATTTTATTGTGGGTCAAATAATCTAGAGATATCTGAACCTATATATCCGGATTAAATATGCACTTAAGAAACTTGTTTTTGTCAAAATCTCATTTTTGTCCAGGTAAGCCATTTTCAGCATTGACATGTTTGCGTGCTCATTACTCAAAACAATGTCTTGCGACTTAGTCAGTATTATGATGGAGCGGGTCACAAATAAGCTAAACATAACCACAAAGCGGCCATCTTGAATTTTTAAAATGGCTGCCTATTTTTTCACTATTTTTTTTCTGGAAATGTCTATTTTTGCCTATTTTGGTAACCCTTTCACTGCGGGTCCCGGCCGTGGCCGGGACATCGTGCATGACTTGATATGCGGGAACCGTCTGACGCAGGATTGTTGCCATAGTCACAACAGGGCATGGTAGCATTCGAATGCAATTACCACTGCTGCCAGAGGTGGCACACGAGTGGCCGACCCTACTGACTGTGATCATGCAAGCAAGTCAGCGGAGGTAATTGGCAGTTGGTGATGATCATCCGACGGTCATTTCATTTGACATGGCTCTCTACGAGAAGGTGGTGCAACTGCCAGATGCCAGGCCTGACTTGAAGCACACAGTTGTCCTCAGACTGGGCGAACTACACGTCGTCATGGCTGCTCTGCGAGCTCTCGGAGCCTCCATGGAAAACTCCGGCATAGATGATGCCTGGATGGAAGCTGATGTCTAAGGTTCTGCCACAACAAGACAAATCCTGAAATGCACACACTACAAGCGTGCTCTCCGTGCCCACATCTATTCATATATAACACTCTATGAGATGGCACTGGAGGAGTTCTTCACGGACAACCCACAACTGAAAGACATCTGCTTGGAAGCAACGGAGGTAGTAGAAGCTGCCTGCTATGAGGGGAACACATGCACAAAGACTGAATCCGTGAAACATGCCAACATCACCCTCCTTCAAGCCTTGACCAATGCTGAAGTGCTGAAGACATTCCAGGACTGGGAGGCCCAGAGATCCAAGAATGCCATGTTCAAGTCAATGATGAACTACCTACACCGAGTGGAGACAATCCTGTTCTTCGTGGCGGCATCCCGAAACGCTGACCTGGTGCTCCATCTCGAAGCTGGAGAAGCACTGAGCAAGATGTTCTTTGCTATGGACCGGATCAAGTACAAGAAACCCTGGCTTCGGTACATCGCAGATATGATCGAGAACAGACCACCCCAATACCTCGAGGGAACTGGAAGCTGGAAACACATCCGTCACGGAGAACGAGATCCCATTTGTATCCATTGGTGCAGACCACGCATGCGAACATCTGAACAAGCTGATGAAGGTTCACTCTGGACTGATTGTCATCTCCAGCAACGCCAACGCTAGACAGAGGTTCTTCATGGCTGCACCAGAACTGTCATGCCTGTCGAGCGAGTTCAAGAGTCAGTTTGATGTGGAAGCTGGCAAGGTCACAGAGCACCATGACCTTAGACCAAGTGCAGTCAAGAGGGAGCATGACGCAATCAACAAGATTAAGGCTGCAATCCTGAGTCATGGCAATCCATTTGCCACTGAAGGTGACCAGCTCATCACCCATGCCCACATCCCAGACGAGTATGTGCCACAGATCCTGAACATTGATGTCACTGGGAAAAATTTGTATGAAGAGTACGTGTCAGAGCGAATCGATGTGGACTTCAGCCTCTGGGTACCAGTGAAGAAACACAACAACAAGATGTTCATGTCTGGCAACAAGAAAAACCAGTGTGAAACTCAGAGACAAGACTGTATATCTGAAGGACATACTTCATTCTGATAATGACGTAACTCGCTCATTACACTATCTAATAGGTTTGAGGCTTCATAACAGTCAAGATCACTTAACTGCAGTAACGATGCTATAGGTTTAACTGGATCCAGAGAGTTTTTAACACAGAACAAACAAACAATAAACTGAAACGATTTCAATGTTGTGAGAAGACCTTGTGCTTTCAATTTAGTATCCGAATCCCACGACCAATTCTCACCACTGTAAATATTTTCATAGAGTGCTGGCGTGACCATTGCATCTAGACATGTCACTGTCTCGGAATACATGTCAATGAATGTTTCATAACAAGTATGCCTCTCGACCCATATGGTTTTGCATAGACCAAGCAGTTTTTTTTCTTTTATTATTACTCTCTAATTTGTTCAGCACTCGCTCGAAAAATTCATGTCGCTTGGGTGAATTTTTAAAGAACAAGTAGGTTTCGTTCACGGAGTCAATCATGTTCCTGATGCTAGGCAGTTTACACGCAGCAGCAATGGCTAAGTTCAGACGGTGACTATTGCAGTGTACAAAAAGAGCCTTTGGAGAGACTCTTTTGATGCGTCCCTGAACACCTTGCGTTTCTGATGACATAGCTGATGCTCCATCATATGACTGACCTCGGATGTTTGCTTCATCTAACCCATTAGCCTTCAAAGAGTCAAGAATAGCCTTTGCGATTTGCTCTACTGTTGTACGCTCCAGATAACAGAAGTCAAAGAAGGACTCGACAATCTTTGGGTTACCGGAATCATCAGTATTCAAATAACGTAAACACAGTGACAGGACTTCCTGGTTCGCGAATCCATCAGTCACTTCATCCGCCATAATCGAGAAGAATGGTGATGGTTTGCCGGCTTTAATATCACATGTTAGCTTATCGCGCAGATACTGGCCAATTATGTTATTTATATCGTTTTGGATATTCTTACTTGTGTACTTAGAATTTTTATGTCCATTTTCAATATGATTACGTAACACAGGATCATGCAGAGCAAGGAGATCCAAAACAGCTAGAAAGTTGCCCTTATTTGATGAATTACTAGTTTGGTCATCCCGATGACCACGAAGAGCAATTGACTGTTTTCCGCAAAACAAAACTGCTTCCACAATGCATTTCAAAACATGAAGATTATTTTCAAACAGCTCCTGTTGTTGTTGACTCATGATGTAATCAAGCTGTTGACGGGGACAGTTAATGCTTCGCAATGCATCTTGACCAGCAGCCATTGCATCTTTGTGAAACCGAGAATTATCGTGACCATCTAATATACCGTACGCCTTTTTATCTTTTGTTGCTTTACCTCTAGCTTTTTTGTAATTTGTAAACGCCTTGCTGACTAAGGCACCGGTCTCAAGTTACAGTTTCTAAATATAACGCAGTACTTACATAGACCACCAGCAACGATTGGACTGTAAACCAGCCATGAATAGTCATCTAGCCATTTACGACAGAAGTATAACTTTTTCTCTGTTGACGCATCACGCTTCACAATCTGGTAGGTAAAATCTTGGTACTCTGCTGGCGGGAACCAGTGTTCTTCAATATATTTACACTTCTCAACAATGTCCAGCTTGAAGACATCAATATCTTTTAAAATGCTTCCAACGTCATAATTTCCGTTATCTAACTTCTCTATTTGTGGTATAGGTTCTGAAAAAAATTAAATAAGTCATAACACTTAGTTGAAATTCAAATAAATTTTTAAGTCAATTGTTAGTGTACCTGATAAAGATTGACGACATTAATCTCTAATACAATTGTACTTCTAGCTACCTCAATCAGATATCTATTACTATCAATTAGGCTAATCAAGCTAGGGGGCATCCCTAAAGTATGAAGTACTCTAAATAATGCATAATTTAATGCCTATTGTATGCGTTTTAAGCAATATGTACATATTGAGTGGTAGAACTGCATGAAGGCGTAATTTAATACTTTATGGGCGGCAATCAGAATGTGACGTCAAGTATATATTATCAGCAAGATCACTGTGACTATCAAAACACATCCATATTTGATTAAATTCCAACATCCTGCTACATCAATCAGAGAATATTATTCAAAATAAGTTTAAATAATTATCAAAATGATCAATAGCATCAGCAGTATCATTTTCAACGACAACTTCATAGATGGTTTCATCAGCAGTGTTTATTGGATCAGCAGTTTCAAGAATTGAAGTTTCAGCAACAGGATCATCAGCAGTATCGATGAGCGAAGTATCAGCAACAGAATTTACACCTACGGTATCATCACCAGTTTCGAGTAACGTCGTATCAGCAACAGAATTTTCAACAACGGGATCAGGAACTTGGGAATGACTGGTGCCTGGCTGTATGCTGCAAAATATATATATTTATCAATGTCTTTTCACAACCCTAAATTTGGTGCCCTTTCAAAATTATACAAGGTGCCCCATTTTCAAGATTTAATTGTGACGGGGATCGGGTTTTCATGTTCCCTTTTAGAAACATTTTCTCCGTCAAGATGCCCTCTTTTTTAAAATTTTTGACAAAAACGAGTCTCATGTGCCCTTTAGACAAAATTTTCTCTTTTTTAAAATTTTGCCCTTTTTTGAAGAAAAAAATTTAAGTACATGGCGGATGGCGGTGCGCTGCCATCCGCCATGTACTTAAACTTGTTACAATCACGCGCGCAGTGCTAGCGAACGCGAGAATTTCGACAGTCTTTGTGTGATTTCGCGGGACACAGCTCGGTTTTGAAGTGAGACGTAATATTTATACAACAAGTAAGCACTGTACTTCAATTAGGAGCAAAGATGGAGTCGTAAGGTTGAGTATTTCTGTTGTAATCGTGTGTAATCAAGCGAGCGTCGAGCGAATTTTTGGGATCGCGCTTTCTCACCTGCTCTATTATTATGTGTTAGTGTACGCGCAATGGCGGCGCCGTGTGTTTACAGTTGATACGCTTCAAGTGCCTGTGGATTTGATCGTCAACCTTCCCGTTGGCTACGGGAAAAGCTTGATTTATTTATTGCTGCCTTGTTTGTTGAACTGCAAATTTCAGAAAATAATCTCCACTGTTATTGTAGTAAGCCCACTTAACATTATACAGGAGGATCAGCTGTCGAAAATTGCTAAGCTGAAAATTACTGCTTGTAAATTTGACATATTGATGGAAAACTCACTGCAAGTAATGGCTTGAAATGGGATGTGCAGGACATTATTGAGGAAAAAGTCAGATTTGACATAATATTCTGCCACCCTGAAGCTCTTCTGAATACCACAAAAGGTGGACTGCTGATTGAGAATGACCATTTTCAAAATTCTGTGTCTGCAGTTGTGATTGATGAGTGTCACATTGTCGAGAAATGGTGAGTTTTATATGATATATTGGGATTGGTGTGGTGGGAGGTAACATTTTTCTATCTACAGGGTACGACAAAACCGCTTGCTCGAGCGCCCCGGGCAAGCATTGTGCCGGCGGGCAACCGAGCTGAAAAAGCATTTTGCAGTTTCAATTTTCAATGCGTTTCCTGGACCGGCGTTCCCCTAGAAGCTTAGACTGAATAATTCTGTCCCAGATGTTTTATATTTTGGATGCGTTATACTGGTATTAACAGTTACTGGTTATACCAGTATAACGCATCCAAAATATAAAACGTTATCTGGGACAGAATAATTCGAAGCTAAGCTTATAACGAATATTGGGAAGTGGACTCGCAGCGCTGTGTGCATATGTTTGTGTCGCAACCGTAGACAAATATATGTATGTAGCAGTGTGAGTACGAACATAGCGGTGAATGCGAGTATGATACATTCTGTGTGAGGAGCGATACATGTTCTTTGAGAGTAGTGGAATTGCACGCAATGTCCCCGAAGAAATAGACAAGGGTTTACCACTCTTCGCTTGATATCACTTATATGATCTAGTATGTAAATAACTTGGCTAAATATAACTTTCTATGTACTGTCTGCATTTGTACAATATTTTACTGGTTACATATTACATTTACATTTTACAATATTTACATATTAGTTGTGTCATCAATCGGACGATACGGCATCATATCAGGCAAGCTAGACAACATTATCTTGACATCGAGCCTAGTATGACTTAAGGCTTTAGAGCTTCATAATGCAACTTTCGTTTTTATACGGGCATGATATCTCGGTAAACTTAGCAGTAAACTTTGTATTACAGCCTTTTTCGACGTGCTGAATCAAAAAATGACCACCTGTTCAAGTCGGCTATGTCGCTTTATTACAGATGGAATATAGCATAATGTGTAAAGATTTGTTTAAATTTTAAAAAACGACAAAATTAAGTAACCATAAATATAATGAATACTAGCCCATATACTGGACTATGTTTATGATATACACAATCGAAATTGTCACATATATACCAGGGCCGGTTCCATGGCTAGACAGTATTTTTCCAGATTTAAAGGGCACATCCACAAAAAGGGCACACCACCCCACAGTGAGCGCAAAATTTCGAAGGGCACTTCGAAATCTAGACCGTATTTTTCAATACGGCAAATACGGTCTGAATCCGCCCCTGTATACCGCTTTTATTTCAGGGGAAAGAAGTTCCGCACAGCGTTCAAAAAGCTCAAGTTATTGCCATCATTTTTCCCAAATGTCCCTGTCGTGGCAATGAGTGGAACCTTGACATCGGAGATGATCAAGAAACTGCCAAAGATATTGGGTCTCCAGAATCCTGGAATTGTGTTAGAGACACCGGACAGACCCAACATATTCCTGTCGAAATACAGGAAAGTTGGTTCAGGAAACGACACTACTTCTAGCTACGAAGCTCTCTATAAGCTAGAGTGTGACAAATTAAAATGTGACCCTGAAATTTACCATGTGACAATCATGTTTCTTCCCATTTCTTATATGAGCCAAGCTGCTGTGTATCTTGCAAAACTGTTTGGAGAACAAACTATTGAGGAGAGTGTTTACTCGTTACTCTACTCTAATCAAGACAGTCAAGTAATTTCAAAAACGATTCAAAGTCTTGACATGGAGAAACCGAGAATCAGGCTAATCCTCGCGACAACTGCGGCAGGAATGGGATTTGATCCAAAAAGTGTAACGCGAGTAATTCATATGCAGCCACCAAGGAACATTTCGCAATATTTGCAGGAAATTGGACGGGCTGGAAGACAGGGTCAGAGAGCAGAGGCGATCCTTTATTTTGGGTCACGTGATATAGCCAAAAATATTCCCGAAATCGAAGAGCACATTATTAATTATTGCTGTAATGAGACAGAGTGTCTGAGAGAAATGTTACTAAGGCCATTTGGTTTCAGCAAACTCTCATCCATCAAATGTTGTGAATGTTGCTGTAATTGTAAGAAAATATGTTTGTGTGATCTTTGTTTGAAATAATATTCCACAGAAGATTAAATTGATATAACTGACTTCCATTGGTAGTTATCTTCTGAATCAGTATGTTGAAAACCCTGGGATACAAATTCTCAGATTTTTTACTGCTGAGGTTACCGAGATATCTAGCCTGTAAATCAAAAAAATATGACCCATGTTTTTCAGTAAGATAGACAGTCACACGTATTATCATATCAATGTATTTACATGAGGCAATAACTATTTCCAAGTAGCATTATTTTCTTTGCAATAAACCTCGACGATGGTGCTGGGCAGAACGCCGTCCCGCAGCCAATACCCATCGATGGGTCGGACTGCGACGACGACGGAGACCAGCTATCCCTACGAGCCGTCGACGCGGCCGACGACGGTGCACGGCACGCTAACGAAGAGTTCGAGCACGGTCAGCGACCTCGAGTTTGACCCGGGAGAGTTCGACGCCGACTACAGCATCGACGAGACGGGCCACCACTGCGAGGGCTTTGCCGAGATCGCTGTCGAGGAGGAGCACATATTCGACTCGATCGACGTCCAGGAGCTGTCCCTGTCGCTAGCGAACATGTTCGAGGCGACGTCGGCAGGTCCGCGCACGGCGGGGCGCGCTCGCTGCCCGACTCGATGCACCGCCGCTGCGTGGCGAGCTTGAGCCGGCTCGCGGCGAATAGCCTCTTGTCGTCATGCCTCGGCGACTCGCGGCTGTCGACGGTGAGCCGCGTCTCGCAGCACTTTCCGCTGGACAGCACGCACCAGTGGCTGAGCGCCGGTCACCTGCCCCGCGTGCTCCTCCAGCAGCAGCAGCAGCCCGGTGGCCTCACCCCGCCAATGCGATTACACATTCTCAAACATTTCATCATCACTACTGTCATCATTTGAATCGGAACTATCATCATCTTCATTTGGAATACTAGCATTGTATGCAAGTCTACTCAGCACTGTTTTAACCGATTCACGAAACTCGTCCTTATTAATTTTGTCGACAGGTGATTGCTTGATAGATTTATATCCCATACATTCTCGTCCAGTTGTTTTATTGAATGGTCTCACAGCTCGCAGTGTTTTCTTAATGATTTCCTCATCCTTAACAGAAATGCGACAGCGATGTCTACAGCTTTCTTCTGTCAGGTTTAAGTTTTTGTCAAGTCCATTCAAAATGTCAGATATCGTATCAGCACCTCTTGTCGCACGCAGTATTGCCTTCTCTGTCTTATTAGACCCAAGATTTTTAATTGGAGTCTTTTGATTTCTGACCGAGTGCTCTTGTACTAGATCCGCTTCAACATTTTTTCCTTTCCCACCTCTTTTGTTTACGAAAGATCCTTCAAGAACACGGATTCGTTGCATAGGTGACAACAGATGTTCACATTTCAAGATGTAATCCAAATTTTCCACAAAGTACTTGCTTAGTTTTGAATGAGAATAGAATAATGCTAAGCTGCACATTGCATTTGGAATAACTCTTTCGATGTCCCCTTCTCTTGCAGTGTCACTCAATTCTTCGAGGTGTAATGCCCAATGACACAGGTTCATGCTATAATTGAACATGTTGTCTTCTTCAAGTTCTGACTCGGCACCTGGAGAAAAGGCTGGGACAGTCACTTCTGGGATTACAACAATGTTACCTGATTCACTTTTTCCTACTATTCGGTAATCCACTTTGGATTCTTGAAGCATTTCTGTCTTAGGAAGAGAGAAATTGAGGTAACCATAATGTTTCATGAATCCTGACATGATGTCGTGTATGTTTCTGGCTTTTATATCTGATTGGTTCGTAAGTGGTTCTGACTCACGATTCTCCATTCTAAAGTACTCTAAAGCTTGTTCGATTACTAAGTGATGAAACACTGTTTGCAGCAGATCATAATGCTGCTGGAATCTACTCTTCACTTTGCCGTTTACATCAGTTTTCTGCAATCTAGATTTGAAGAAGTACAGTGTTCCAGGCTGTCTCAGTGATGCTGATCGAAATAATTCTTTGTAGGCTTTCTGAAATAAAAATTGATTGTAATATATTGACTTATCTATATCTATAATACACAAGTGCCTGTCAAAATATAATCGTCTATCAGATGGTAGAATGAGATTTTCTTATATTTCTTTTGCTCAAGCCAAATATAGTTATGCGATTTCAACGAGTTACGTAAAACATTTCTCAAGCCCAGCACTCATCATTTTCTGTGTAAGCAGGCCGTTTAGATGGATGTAGCTGCTGAATAGGAAGGTAGCAATGTTTGACTTATAGCGGCGGCGGGACGATAGCCGGAGTAACATGAGAAGGAGAAACCGGCTAAAATATCTAGAGCATTTCTCTATACATAAGAAACCTAGCGTGTTGAAACTCGCTACGTGTTTCTGCCACGTTGGCAATGATGACTCATCTCTGGTCAGAAATAACCTGGCGCAAGAAGCCATGGGCTTGAGACAAACTAGGCAGTAGAACTTTAAGTTGCAAAGTGCGGGGAAGTCGCCTGCTCGGTTTGGTTACTGTATTTGGCAATGAAGTGGAAAAACTGCATCACGTGAAGGGAGCAGAGACGACCAGTTCGTCGCTCATATAAAAGCAAAAGCGCGTGTCGATTTCAGGAGGGAGAGAAATAGTGTAGTTTAGCGAGTAGAGAGCATGATCTAACTGTTTGAGTATAGTTGGGTGGCTATAGCGATTTGTGTTAGAAGCGGCAATGCTTTGAATTGGTTTCGAGAGAGAATCTTAATTCTTACTGAAATATGAGTCATCTTGATTAAACATTATTGTGCGTTATTTCTGGCATAATGTGTCATTCTTGAGTTCTTACAGCTTTACTACAAATCCAGTGAATTCACCTGTGTAGTTGTGATTTCCCGACTACATCTGTATTTAATACACATACCATCCAAATTATAAAAACTTGGTTAATTGCATGCGAAATAAAGATACCGCCTATAGGGAAGATACATACATACATACATACATACATACATACACACACACACACACACACACACACATACATATATATTATAATACATCAATATATAGATAGACATGGTATGGGCTTAGCACGAGCAATGTGATGGGGGAGGACTTGATACTGCAGCCATTGCGGGTGTAGCCAGCGTAACCACTGTACATTTACGTCATAGACTCCTGTATCCATTATAGTCCATTATAGTCTGTGAATCTGTGGTTGGGTATTTGCATAGATATATAAAACACGTGTAGTGTATATATGTTCACATAAATGTTGTACGCACAGATATCCTCAAAATGTCCATATCCTACCGTGGGGGTCTTATTTTTAGGGAAAATTCAAGCTAAGATTAGCATAAATACTATAAAAAATGTTGTTGCATTTAAGAGCTGCTTAAGAATGCTTATCATGAGTAATATGATATGTTAGATATCTTTGCATTACGACTTATTGTTGTCTTTCTGTTTCGGTAAATGCACCGAGTATTGTTTTCTTGTTTTTCTTTTTTACTTTTTCTATGCACGATGATATAAGGGATTATGATATAATATTATATCTATGGTGTTTGTAAGTTTACGCCAGCGCACCTAGCGGAAGTGAACTGAATCGTGCATGTTTTCCAGGGAGATTTTCCAATAGATTTTCTAAATATGTTTTTTTTTACACATTTAACGGCATGAATAACAAAAAGGAAAGTGTTAGAATCGAACATGATGCATAGGAATGAAGCACGGCCCCCGGCAGCCATGTTCGCTCGATATTGAGACCCCAGCGACGGTTGATGAACACAGGCAATCTCCTCATAAAATGGTTGGTTAACACAGACAATTTGATCAAACAATATGTGAATTAGTATATGAGATCAGCTGCTAGCCTATTTATATGTGTATGAGTGCAAAGCAACTGTAACCTGTTAGTTTGTATCAATAATTGATAGCACTAGGAAAGCGAGGTTCTCTGCTTTTTGTTAGCAGGTATTCATTAAAAGCGTGTAAGGCGTTTTTGCTGTAGCACTTATGTTAAACTCAGTATTTGTAAAAAATACTGGGAAAAATAAATTGATATCATATATATATATTGTTATATGTAACGCAATGGCGGTAGGTAACGACTATTCATAGAGTATATACATATATACGTGGAATCCTTTAACCTTTGTCTTATTTTACATCATTTATAAATGATCTTCGTCGACTTTCCAGTCATCTTATTCGTGATGTCCATTCGTGGGTCATTTCCAATACTGAACATTGAGTTATTGCATGTTGTCTTTAGTACCCCAACATAATATCTATCTACGTAAATCAATAAAACCATACTTGTTTAATGTAAATTGTACGTAATTAACATAAATATACAGCCTGATCTTTTCCTGAAACTGCGGTAGGCCCTATACCGTGGTATTACCGTGGTTTGGGGGACGGCCGTCGACCACGGGATTTGGAACCACATCCCCTTATAGTACCCTGCGCAGGCTAGAGCACCTGACGCATCAGTGTACAAGTCCGCGTCTGGCGCCTGTGTCCATGCGGCATTTAGAAACCGTGCGGAGCCATTCCACGATGGTAGGAAATCTACCCACCATTTTAAGTCTGCGTGGAAACCTCTGTTTAGGGTAATGAAATGGTGTGTGCGCTTGACGGTGCAACTGAGGTCAATCATGCGTCGTAGAAAAATGCGCCCTGCAGGGACACATTTGCAGGCAAATGACAGAGTACCCATGAACGACGGTAGGTGTCGTTTCGTGTACTTTTTCTGCATCTGCCAGCCCGCGAGCTCGCAGACAAGATTATCGTACTTATCGCGCGGTAAGCGCAGCACCTGTCGAACACTGTCTAACTCAATGCCCAGGAATGTCAGAAATGAAAGGACATTTTTCATGAAAGCGAGAGTAGAAATGCTCACGATAAAATCCTGTTATATAAACACGTGTGTTTGGACACATGTAAATGTATATCGT